CCTGGGTGGCTCAGCCAATTAAGAGTCTGCCTTCAGCTCAGGTCATGATCCCAGGATCCTGGGATTGAGCCCCGCATCGGGCTCCCTGCTCATCGGGGAGCCTGCTTCTCCCTCTCTCACTCCCTCTGCTTGTGTTCCCTCTCCTACTATCTCTCTCTGTCAAATAAATAAATAAAGTCTTAAAAAAGAAAAAGAATAATTTACTTTCTTTGAGATTTGCAGGCCACTGGCCTTGGGGAATAAAGGACCACAACGTTCCCAGGCCACCACAGAGGCCAACAAGTCTGAAGCCCCCTTAGCTTTCTGATTAGCCCAGCAATCTTTTAGCAAAATGTTTTTCATTTTTAAGGTCACACAAATGACTTTACTGGCCTCCCTTTGCGCATCTGTAGAACTTGCCCTCCTTTGCAGAAAGAACAGAGTACTTACTCTTGCATAACCCCTGGGCACCAAGGAACCAGAACTTACTTACTTACTTATTTTATTTATTTATTTATTTATTTATTTATTTATTTATTTATTTATTTTAAGATTGATTTATTTGAGAGAGAGTGTGAGCGTGGGGGGCGGGCGCAGGCAGAAGGAGAGGGAGAGAGAGAGAATCTCAAGCAGACTCCCCACTGAGCGTGAAGCCTGATGCAGGGCTTCCATTTTACGACCCCGAGATCATGACCTGAGCCAAAATCAAGAGTTGGACTCTTAACCTACTGAGCCACCCAGGTGCCTTGGAACCAGAACTTCTTGCACAACCTCCGAGTACCAAAATAACTCTGTAGCTGGCATCGTCGTGTCTATATTCAAGATATGTCACAGACCACTGCACTCCGTTAACTGATTAAACCCCTTTAAAAATCTTGGGCCAGGCAGAAGCCTGGGAGTTGGCCTATTCAGGTGGCCAGCCTCCGGAATAAAGCTCACACTCCTTTCCAAAAAACTTGTCTCTTGAGTATTGGCCTTTCGAGTGATGGGCAGCCAAACTTGGGTTTCAGTAACGATGTATGTTTTATGTAGAAAACCCAGAACATACAAACAAGTAAAGAAGAAGAAAATAAAAATCACCTGAATCCCACCATTCAAAGATAATCGCTGTTAAATACTGTGGCGTAAAGACTCCCCAACTTTCTTGAGTAATATGTATTCTTAGAAAGAAACAACAGGCCCCAGTGGAGTCACTTTTGCTAAACCCCACCAAGCCTCAACACCTAACCTAATTGTACTTCTAGCCATTCCCAGCAGTGGAATTTTATACCAATTAGTTTGGAATTTCCAGATCTGCACTAGCGAGATAAACTGCATGATAAGACCCCTTGCCTTCCCCTAAGGGAAGGTAACCTTACCTGAAATAATCCACTCTTTTAACTTCTTTGTCCCACCCTCTTTCTGCCAGCAAGAAACCTGCCATTTTGTACAACTTGGAGTTCCTTGCTACTTGCTAGATGGGATGCTGCCTGATTCATAAATTGTTGAATAAAGCCAATTAGATCTTCAAATGTATTCAAATTTTGTTTTTTAACAGTATGGATGTATGTATGGATAGACAGGTATACACATACACATTACACATACGTAAATGTCCCCCGAATGGGATCCTACTACAACACTTATTTTGTCTTTTATTTCCCCACCCAGTGATACATTAAGAACATTACTCCATGTCATTCAATTGTATTTCTGAAGATGGTTATTAAAATCTGCTCTTAGAGTGAGAACTAAGTAGCACCACAGGAAAAGTGATGAAATTTAAAATAAGTCAGGCTCCAAAAGATGCCTCTCAGTCACAAGGGAATCTCAAAGACAGACAGCAACAACATTCTTTGAGGAAATCACAAAATGTTGAGAAAAGAAAAAGATGAGGTCACAGGAAGGACTGGGAGGAGGAGATGTTTGTACAGGATGTAGAAAAGATACATTCACAGCCCTCTTCTAGCTGAGTTTATACCCCAGCTTTGTGAGCCGAGGAGCACAGCTCATCCCCCTAGTTCACTGCAGGATGTGTATTGAAAACCACTCCCTCAAAGGCAATTAAAGCTCCCAGTGACAAACCAGACCTGCCCTCTTCAACATTTCCCCAAGGGATCTGATATTCCGGCCTTGCCAGCACACACAGCCTGTGTGTCAGTTAGGAAGAGGGCTCCCCCTCCTGCTGTCCTTTCTAGACACTGCAGCCCTAAACTAGGGCACAGGAATTGGGAGACCATCATTTGGTATCAGCTCATACTGCTCCCCCCAGCCCACCCTAGCTCATACTTCGATTCCTGGTCTGTTCCTCACACAATGGACTTGTCTGATATGATTTACTTAAACTTCTACAGAACATATGCAAAAATAATCTTAATCTCCACATCCCCACACCCCAAACCAGGCTAGGGACACACAAGCCATCTTACAGGGCTTTGCTCCATAATAATAAATTATTATTACTATAGCTATCATTTTTTAAGTGTTTAGCTCTGTACCAGACCCTGTGCTAAGTGCCTTAGATGCATTATTTTATCCTTACAACAACTCAATGAAGAAGTAGGTTCAGGGGAGCCTGGGTGGCTCAGTCGTTAAACGTCTACCTTCAGCTTGGGTCATGATCCTGGGGTCCTGGGATCGAGCCCCGCATCTGGCTCCCCGGAGAGCCTGCTTCTCCCTCTCCCACTCCCCCTGCTTGTGTTCCCTCTCTTGCTGTCTCTCTCTGTCAAATAAATAAAATCTTTAAAAAAAAAAAAGTAGGTTCAATTATTATTCCCATTTTACAGATGAGATTACTGAGACCGAAGAAAGTAACTTGACTCAGCTAATGCCACAGATAATGAGTGAGAAGGAATCAATTCTAGTTGGTCGGCTTCCCGCAAACATTTCCTGTGCACCTCCTGTATGAAAGGCAGTATACTAAACTCAAGAGAAAAAGGCATACAGCAGTCCTTTCTTTGAAATCCCACCATCCTTGAAAGAGTTTACAGTTTAGGAAGGAAAATGACAAGTACATAATATACCAATACAAGGCATAAGGTGCTAAGTTCATGTGAAAGGGTCAAAGTTCTCTTGTGATTAGAGATGCGAGGGCCTTTGAGGAGATGGAATGTGAAATGGGCTTTAATAAGGGTTTTCACGAAAGATGTTTGGAGGACAGCATTTAGGGGAAACGGCATGAGTAAAGAAAGGTATGGCAAACACAGGCAAGGAAGAGCAAATAGTTAAACTTCTAGAAGTAGAGCTTAGGGGAACTGTGACTGATAAAGCTGTAACATTACGTGACTTCAGAACCTAGCTACAGAGCTCGGATTGGTCGACGGAGTACCGGATGGGTTTTGAGTGAGGTAATGGTAAATCTGGGGCCAAAACTTGAGAAAATTTTGTTGTCACTACCTGTGTTATAAACTGGCATAGGGAGAGATCAAAGTTAGAGACCAGTTGGGAAACTTATAATAGACCAAAGTTTCTTGGTCTCAGCACTAATGACATTCTGGGTCAGATAAATACCTGGTGGGGGAGAGTGTCCTTTGCACTGCAGGTGTTTAACAGCATGTCTGGCCTCTACCCACTGCATATTTTAACATTCCGCCCCATCCCCAGTGTTTCTTGGGAGGCAAAATCGCCCCAGTTGAGGACAACTGTATTAGACCATATTGCAGTCAGAAATTTAAAAAGGTGAATGTGACCCGTGGACAGGGTTAAAACATAAAAGCTTTGGCAAGTGTTTGGATAGAAGTGTGACTGAAGAGGATGGAAGGATCAAACAGATGTAGTCTAACATACTCCTAATTGCTTGCAACACTGTAAACTTCAGAAGGGCAATTTGGTAAACCCTTTTGAAGGGAGTTTGGTAAAACCTATTAACAATCACAAAAGCTATCTTGCCCTTTGACCCAGCAATTCCATTCCTGGAAATTTATCTCAAATGATTCAAATGAAGACACAATCTTCATGTACAAAGCAACAATATTTACAGAGAATAGTGACCTTGCTGTTCTCAACAATTGCACCCTCATGCCTACCACATTTAATAGTGCCTGTTAAATGAGAGGCTCAGATTTAAGAGGTCAATTTAAGATTCAGAGAAAGTGTGATCGAAGATTCTGAGGAGAGAAGTCGTAGCTAAGGAAACAAAACCCCAGATGGGGTGGAAAGGGCAGATATCAAGAACGCAAGTAGAAACGCTTATAACTTATTCCCATATCATAGAGGGCAATGACTCAGATTTTGTATATCCTTGCATTCTTTTTTTTTTTTTAAGGTAGGCTCCACCCCCAACGTGGGGCTTGAACTCACAACTCAGATCAAGGATCACACGCTCTGCTCTACATTCTGAGCCAGCCAGGGGCTCCCCCCAACCCCAAAAGACTGAGATTTTTTGTATTGGTCAAAGGAAGGAAGGAAATTAGGGAGTCAATCAGTGACGTCATCTGCTGAGAAAGAAGACCCGGTGGACCCGAGGTTTGAACTTTGCCCGAGGAATCTCGATCTTTGCCCAAGAACATTCCTTGAAAATAGGAATTGTGCGCTTTTCCGTGCAAAGTTGGGGGAGAACACGCTGTTCAGAAATGAGGACGTCCTAGGGAACACCCCAATATACAGAGATTAAAGATGAAGAGTTAATTAAGTAGACAACTTTCTTTCTCCCGGAGTCCCCAGCAACTTGGTTTTTAAATTGCCCTGCAAATGTGGAACCCTTGCTAATTCAGCAGGGACACCGCTATTCTGTGAGAAGCTGGGTACTGCCAGCCGGGTGAGCGTGAGGCGCCGGGTGGAAGAATGGCAGGCGTGGCCAACCGGGAGGCGGCTGGAGGCCGCGCCCCCTTCCCAGAGTGCCTCGCTGCGGCTCCCCGCGAGATCCCTTTTCTGGCCAGCCCCGCCGGCCTCGGAAGGGGCTCCCGCCATGGACGGGCTGCGGACTAGCACGGGGCTGTTGAGGCGCGGGAGGTTGAGACGCCGGCGCCAGCCGCAGCCACACAGCGGGTCGGTCCTGGCCCTGCCCCTGAGGCCCAGGAAGATCCGAAGGCAGCTTAGGAGAAGCGTGGCGTCCCGCATGGCCGCACTGAGGGCCCAGACGCTGCCCAGCGAGGACTCGGAGGACTCGAGGGTGGAGTCGACGGTCGACGATCCGGGGGACCCGCTGCCTGGTGGGGCGGCGGCCATCCCCGATGCGGCCCGGCGGGAGCCGTATGGCCACCTGGGGCCTGCAGAGCTGCTGGAGGCCTCCCCCGCGGCCCGCTCCCTCCAGACACCCCGCTCCCTGGTGGAGGCGCAGACCCCGCCGGCCCGCCTGGTGGAGGCGCACACTCCGCCGGCCCGCCTGGTGCCGGCTTCCGCGCCGCCCGCGCGCCTGGTGGAGGTGCCCGCCGCGCCGGCCCGCGTGGTAGAAACCTCGGCCCTGCTATGCAATGCCCAGCACTTGGCGGCCGCCCCTCTGTCCGTAGCCCCTGCCACGCTGTCGGGGCCGCAGGTGGACAGCACGGGCGGGGAGCTGGCCTGGGACTCCCCGCTGCAGCGCGTCCTGGCCGAGCTGAACCGCATCCCCAGCAGCCGGCGGCGGGCAGCGCGCCTCTTCGAGTGGCTCATCTCGCCCATGCCGCCCGACCATTTCTACCGGCGCCTGTGGGAGCGGGAGGCGGTGCTGGTGCGGCGGCAGGACCACGCCTACTACCAGGGGCTTTTCTCCACCGCAGACCTGGACTCCATGCTGCGCCACGAGGAGGTGCAGTTCGGGCAGCACCTGGACGCCGCTCGCTACGTAAACGGGCGGCGCGAGACCCTGAACCCGCCCGGCCGCGCGCTGCCCGCCGCCGCCTGGTCCCTGTACCAGGCCGGCTGCTCCCTGCGCCTCCTCTGTCCGCAGGCCTTCTCGACCACCGTGTGGCAGTTTTTGGCTGTGCTCCAGGAGCAGTTTGGAAGCATGGCAGGCTCCAACATTTACCTCACGCCCCCCAACTCGCAGGGCTTTGCCCCCCACTACGACGACATCGAGGCTTTTGTGCTGCAGCTGGAAGGTAGGAAACTCTGGCGCGTGTACCGACCCCGGGTCCCGACGGAGGAGCTGGCCCTGACATCCAGTCCCAACTTCAGCCAGGACGACCTCGGTGAGCCGGTGCTGCAGACCGTGCTGGAACCCGGAGATTTGCTCTATTTTCCTCGGGGCTTCATTCACCAAGCCGAATGCCAGGATGGGGTGCACTCTCTGCACCTCACCTTGTCCACGTACCAGCGCAATACCTGGGGCGACTTCCTGGAGGCCGTACTGCCTCTGGCAGTGCAGGCTGCAATGGAAGAAAATGTGGAATTCCGAAGGGGTCTCCCCCGAGACTTCATGGATTACATGGGGGCCCAGCACTCGGATTCTAAGGATCCACGAAGAACGGCTTTTATGGAGAAGGTGCGAGTCCTGGTTGCCCGCTTGGGACACTTTGCTCCTGTCGATGCTGTGGCTGACCAGCGAGCCAAAGACTTCATCCACGACTCTCTGCCCCCTGTGCTGACTGATAGGGAGAGGGCACTAAGTGTTTATGGGCTCCCAATTCGCTGGGAGGCTGGCGAACCTGTGAACGTGGGGGCCCAGTTGACAACGGAAACAGAAGTGCACATGCTGCAGGATGGGATAGCTCGGCTGGTGGGTGAGGGAGGCCATTTGTTTCTCTATTATACAGTGGAGAACTCCCGTGTTTATCATTTGGAAGAGCCCAAGTGCTTGGAGATATACCCTCAGCAAGCTGATGCCATGGAACTCTTGCTGCGCTCCTACCCAGAGTTTGTGAGAGTAGGGGACCTGCCCTGTGACACTGTGGAGGACCAGCTTTCCTTAGCAACCATGTTATATGACAAGGGGCTGCTGCTCACCAAGATGCCTCTAACCTGAACTAGTTTCTTGTTGATTGCTGGAAGCAAGACAGTGGTGATTCTCTTAACTACCATTACCACCTTTTTGGCAGGGGGCTGGGGGATGGGTGGGGGGACTCATGTTCTTACCTTGAGAACCATTTACCTTTATGACTGCTTACATTTACCTTTATGACTGCTTTAATGTCACAAATTTCAGATGGCTTTCTAGGAATCACCACTTCATCTAGGCACAAAAGCAAAAGCAGAAGTTGGAGGTGGAAAAAGGAGCTCTTTCTGCAGAAGTAACTTTGATCCCTGATTATTTCAGAGCACCAGCCTCATCATCACCCCCAGGCTTCAGTGTACTGTGTAGCACTTGCTGTGTCATTGTGCTTGAGACATCAGATGTTTTTATTTGGGATTTGCATCCTTCATTTGAGTTCTCTTTCCTCAGTTTGGGGGGAGGGTTGGGGTCAGTATCCTGTTTGTTACTGTGAGTTTGTATGTTAGAAAAGTTATTAAAGTGCCAAAGAATGTTTCTCTTTTTTAAGGCTAGATTATTATGTGATGTGTTTGAAGGAATTGGGTGGGGGGGGGGTAGGGAAAATCTATAATGGCTGAGGTGAAAGGTAACTTGGGGTGGCTGTAGGATTGGGGCCAATTATATAACTTTGGGGGTAATTTATTTTAATCATGCTACTTGAACCCCAAACATCACAATCCTATTGGAAAAGTTAAGAGTGTATTATGTTTTTGTTCAGTGCTTGCTTGCATCAGTAGCTGGCATTGCTCCCAAAGGGCAGCATGTCACCTACTTGTGCCTCAGTCAACCAACTTGTAGCAAGCTGGCCATGAAGGAAAGGAAGGCTGGTAGGCAAGTTACTTTCCACTCTCATTTTTTTCTGGCAGTTGGAGGAATCTTCCCCAAACCTGGCAAGTGACTGTTCTCATGGTTGGTGGAAGAGAGCCTGGTGTACCAGAGAGAGCACAGGACTTGGAGCCAGAAGACCTGGGTTTGGGGTGGTGGCTGGTAGGCAGCTGACTGAATGAGCTGAGGCTGCTGCTACGCCTGGGCACACAGATTTTGTAAGTATATTTTGGTATAGCTTGATGTCTGCACTTCATTTAGGTTGTCTGGAACTTTAAGATCCTATCACCATAACTGACAGGTGCAGTTATATAAGGTTGAGAATTTTATGAAGTTTTTTTTACGTTGGGAAAGCATGGATATACATAAAGTGATAGCTTTCTCTCCAACCCCACTTTCCAGAGGTAACTACTATTAAAAGTTAAACTTACAAGGCTTTGGATGCATAATCAAACATAACAGTAGTTTTTGTTTTGTTTTCCTAACCTCTCATTTTTTGACCTAACTTTCAAATCCATTAAATTAGAACTACCTCATTCTTTTTTTTTTTTTTAAGGGACAAAATAGCAAATTAAAAGCCAGGGAGCGGGCAGGAAAAAAATAAAAGGACTGAGAAGATGGTGGCCAAAAACGAAAGGTAGCAGCCTTTCCTGACTCATCCTACAGGGCTAGAAATTAAACTTCCCAAATGTCCAGATCCCAGAAGAGGCTTGTTAAAGGAGTCGAGGCATACGACTCACCCCTTGGAAACCTACCCTGAAAAGTTTCTTGTAGAAAAGTATGGAGTTTCAGTGGTTTTTGCCCCTCCTTGGGTTGCAAGTAAACACGTTTTGTTTCTTCCTTCACTTTTCCTATGACCCTCTCCATCTTGAATATTTTCTCTGTCAGCAAGTCCTTTTGGCTTAGTATTTGAATCTAGATCAGAAGAAATGATGTTGAAAAAAACTGTATTAGGCTGCAAATCATCAAAAACCATTAATAAAGTAACTTACTGCATTGTGCTTAATTGGTATTAGGTCGTACAATCCCTCGGCATTCTTCTGATGTTGGCTGGACATTTTTTACACCCATTAATGAAAAATCTACTTTAGCTTTTTGGGCATGATGAAAGGAACCTGCTAAGAAATGCTTGCTTTGTGTGAAGCTGGTTTTGTGAATTATATGAAGAAAGAATCTTATATTTTTAAAGTCTTTGTCCCTCTATTTCTTTTTTTTTTTTTTTAAGATTTTATTTATTTATATGACAGAGACAGCGAGAACAGGAACACAAGCAGGGGGAGTGGGAGAGGGAGAAGCAGGCTTCCCGCTGAGCAGGGAGCCCGATGTGGGACTCGATCCCAGGACCCTGGGATCATGACCTGAGCCAAAGGCAGACGCTTAACGACTGAGCCACCCAGGCGCCCCTGTCCCTCTATTTCTTCATCTCATCTAACAGCTTTGAAAAATTAGAACCGTCTGTTCAGCTAGAGCATTCCTTTGGTAAAACCCCAGTTTAGGGATTAAGGAAAATTAAAAAGAAAAAAATCAAGGGGGCTAGCTCCAGTCACTCATTCCTTCTCTAGGTCTACTTATAAAAAAGAACAACTTGGGTTTAGTTGATGGTGGGGAGAAAATGGGAAGGGAAGGAAAAACAAGTATTTCAGAAATAATAACCCACTTTGAGGGTTACTTGATAGGGCTGACAGGATTATTGTTTTTACTTTGTCTTTACTAGGATTTTATAATGTGATTTTTGCATAAATGTTTTGTATCTTCAGAAAATACGGTACCTGTGTGGTTGTAGAAAGTATTTCTGTGATGGAGAAAAGGGTCTAAGGAACTCGAGAGTCCTGAATTTTCTCTTGAAAACATGGCTTGCACTTAACTTACCCTGTTCTTGATCTTCTGAAGCATTTCTTGGTTTCCTTCATTTTCTAAGTTGAGTATCTTCATTGCCTGATGAATTTCCCTGAAAGATAAAAAGAACTTCTTAGATCATTCTTACCTTTTTTTTTTTTTAATTTAGGAAGTTGGGGGTGGGAAGGGCAGAGGGGGAGAGAGAATTCTAAGCAGGCTCCACACCCTGAGCTGAAATCAAGAGTCAGATGCTTAACCAACTGAGCCACCCAGGTGTCCCAGATTGTTCTTACTCTTTTTTCTTTCCTTTTTTTAAAGATTTTATTTATTTTTGAGAGAGAGCTGGGGGGGGGAGGAGGGGGAAGGGCAGAGGGAGAAGCAGACTCCTTCCTCACTGAGCAGAGAGCCCGATGTGGGGCTCGATCCCAGTACCCTGGGATCGTGACCTAAGCCAAAGGCAGACACTTAACCGACTGAGCCACCCCGGTGCCCCAGGTTGTTCTTATTCTTAAAAAAAAAAGCATAAGGGTAGATAATAGAGGAGTAGGATCAATCAGGAATCCTAAATTCCAATCCCAATCCTAACTGCGGTTTTGCTAAGCTTTATCTGCAAAAATGGTATGATGCTTAGCTTATAAAGATGTTGTATAGTTTTTAAGATGATATATTTGAAGATACTAATGGTACCATTTATTGAACACTTTCATGGTGTATACTAAACATGTCATCTCTTTAATCATCACCACAGACCCATAAGGCAGACAATTACCTGCATTTGATATCTGAAAAAATGAGCTCAGAAAGTTTAAGTAACTACCCATGTTCACATAGCTAGTGTATGCCTGAGCTGGGATTCAAACTCTGGTCTTTTTGGGGCGCCTGGGTGGCTCAGTCATTAAGCGTCTGCCTTCGGCTCAGGTTATGATCCCAGGGTCCTGGGATCGAGCCCCGCATCGGGCTCCCTGCTCGGCGGGAAGCCTGCTTCTCCCTCTCCCACTCCCCCTGCTTGTGTTCCCTCTCTCGCTGTGTCTCTCTGTCAAATAAATAAATAAAATCTTTAAAAAAAAAAAAACAAAAAACTCTGGTCTTTTTGACTCTAAAGCCTGTCATCACAGTAGGCACTTGATAAATGTTAGCTGAATAAATGAATCATTTAAAACCACCTGGGATGGAGAACAGGTATGTGAACTACATAACCTGACTTTTCATTCAATTAGGCCAGTTTTTCTGTTACCCACTTAAGTAGGCAGGTGAATGGCACAGGTGAGCCTGTACTTACAGCCATTAGGCATCCTGGAAAGGCAGGGATATATTCTGTTAAAAAGGATGGGAGAATTGGCGGTACAAGAGGTCGTGGCAGGATTCAGGTTTAGAGCTTACTTTAGAACAGCCTCATGGTTCTCTAGGAGCAGCACGTCTAGGAAGGTGTCCCTGACCCGGTCCCCTTGAAGATTGAGGGCTAGGATGCTACGGCAAGCTTCTAGTCGTACACCTGGTGACTCTTCATAATGGATGGCCCAGAGCAGGAGGTCTGTCAGCTGGGGACTCACTTGGCCAATCTGACCCAAAGCTGCAGAGATTAGAGGGCAGCATGTTCCACTGTCACTTAAGATGGAGTTGGCTGTATCCTAACATCCAGAAATGGCCTTATTAACAAATAACAGTAATACTATATAGACAGCTGCCTGCTAAATTAAGTATTGCAAACATTAAACTATTTTGTTAGTATCTTCTCTTTTGGATGACAATTAATTATCATTAGAATTTTAGGGATGGGTTAGAGTAGGACATCTCCAAAGGATTCCTGTGGGGATGAGGAGGAAGGATCCATCCCATCCTTGCCCATTAGGATGTGAGAATACACTACTTTACTTATTTATGTAGGGAATGAGATGTGGGACAGATAACCCAGAAGACCAGCCTAGTCAAGGCAAGATAATGGGGAAAGGAGACACAATTACTTAACAGGTTTACCTAAAGCTACTTAACAGGTTTACCTAAAGCAGAGATGGTCAACGAGAGCAGGAATGCCAAAAATCCTTAAAAAGAAACTAGGAAAGTTTGAGGTCAGGGTTTTAAATCGGCAGCAGTCTTGAATCGTCTTTTACAGGGTCCTATAGTTGAGGCCTCCAGAGCAAGTGTATCCAATAGCGGATACCTACTTAGAACTTAGTACTAAATCTGTTGGCAGGGACTGTCTTTTTAGCCCTTTGCCATAACAGATTTGACATAAACCTAGATTCAGAATCCTTAACGAAAAATTAAAAAGAAGAAAATAACCTTCAATTTCTCAGGCAAGAACTTCTGAGAAGGTGTAACCATCTCTTCCCCTACATTCTACCCCTTCCTAGGGAGAGTCTGGGGATTTATACCAGCATGTGAGAAGGTATTTGAGGTTGAGAAGCTGGGGCCACTCCCATACTACCTTGAATGGCAAATGCCTTGATTTTCCAGTAAGGATCCCTCTGTATCAGATTCAAAAGGCATTCAAGGACCTGGGATGAATAAAAGGGCAGTGTTGAGTGGAGAGAATCAGAGCAAGAATGAACCAGAGACAGGGACCCCTCTCATCTCTAAAACGTGCTATCACTGAAAAATGGGCTTCTATCAATTCTAGTGACAAATGAGCTGGAAGCTGAAGTACTAGCCTGCACACATAGTGTATTAGCTGAATTATCTCCTGTCTAGATTGATTTTCCTCAACCCACAGTTCTGTGGTCATACAGGCTTCTTTAGAACACCTCCAATCAGGTTTTCCCCTAATAACTAGGGATTATAACTCCATTCACTGGAGTTGATCCTAAAGCCCATAACTGAGAACAGTTAAGTCTTGTGCTCCCTGGGAGCTAAATGTGGTTCTAACTGACTCATTGATGTGGCCAGTCTACCCCCTCACCTTCCTGGTTCTAATCTTTCATTCTGTGTGTCCACAGAATGGTGAGTGTAGTATGCACAAGGGAAGCTCAGGGTAATGCCCTCTTCAGGTTAATTAGGTAAGATGGGAAAGTGTTTCTTTGACTCACCATCTGATTGCGGATCTGCAGGGCGCCTGCTGCCAAACAGGCTGCCCGCCGAACTGCCATGAAATCATCTGAGAAGCAGCTCAGGAAGCTTGGGAGAAGCCTGACAGTCAGGACCTTGAGCCCACCAATCAGGGAGAGAGCTTCCACACGCTCCTGGAAATTTCCTTGACTCAGCTTGACTCTGGAAGGCACAAGTGCTTTTATTTTCCCACCTTAAACTTTGGCATTCCCACCACTAATGCCCTCAAAATAAAATCCAATGTCTGTAGGCTCTCCATTATCCATTCCCACCCTTTCCTAGTCAGCCTTATGCCCATGAGGTTAAGTTTCACTGGGGACAGACCTCAACTGTCTTACTT